ACATTACCATTATTATTGGCAAATTAGGCTATGTCATAGTCAATAATATGTGGTGATATGAAATTATTAAATTTGCTTATGTATTATTATTCAAGTTATAATAAATATTATTACTTATACTTAACACCCACAAAAATGGTTTACCCAGTAATGTGACGTGAAATTTATAACTGTTTATTTTTGTACTCACCGTAATATTTATAATGTGGAGCATTTTTTTTACTTGCTTTGTTATATTCACGAAAATGTTCATCAAATAATTCGGAAAAATCTTTAAAGTAATATACATGATTAAATTAGAATTTTATGATCATAAATGATTAATTAGTAAATATTATGTCATTAAATTTGTTTCCAACGGCTAGTTAACGGTTATTTTTGTAACGGCTATTAACCAATATCTATATATAACCCTACAATTCATTTTCATAATCCAAACACTCAAAAATATATTTTCTTTATAAAAAAAATAAAAAAAAATGTTTGATCCATTACTTATAATTACCATTATCTTGTTTATTATATACGTTTTGCTAATTTTCACGATGATGTATCGTACTGTTGGATTTAAATTTTATGTATTAGGCATTTGTATAATGTGTTTAGTATTTGCTCTTTTGTACTTATTGAAGAATTAATGATTGTATATGTAATTTTTCGAATCTAAGCATTGATGTTTTATTTTATAGTTATCATGGCAAATCTGGTCAAATTCGAATTTGAAGCTCTCGATATATCTGGGAAAAATTATATCTCATGGACATTGGATGTCGAAATTCATTTGGCGGCAAGGGATTGGAAAAAACAATAATCTCCCCAAATGATTCATCAATACAGGATAAAGCTAAAGCAATGATATTTCTGAGGCATCATTTGAATGAGGCATTGAAAAATGAATATTTAACTATAAAAGATCCTGCAGATCTCTGGAAAGCCTTGAAAGAAAGGTATGATCACCAGAAAAACGGTGATTCTCCCCCGGGCTCGTTATGAGTGGATGCATTTACGCTTCCAAGATTTCAAAACTGTAAACGAGTACAATTCAGCGATGTTCCGCATTTGCTCGGTATTGAAATTATGTGGAGAAAACATAACTGATTACGATATGCTGGAAAAGACGTCCACATTTCACGCTTCAAATGTACTTTTGCAGCAACAATACAGAGCTAAAGGTTTTGTGAAATATTCTGAGTTAATTTCTTGTTTGCTGCTGGCTGAACAAAATAATGAATTGTTGATGAAAAATCATGAATCTAGACCAACGAGGTCTACTGTGGTCCCTGAAATAAATGATGTAATATCTAAACAGGGAACCGGAACTGAAAACAGCCAAACATATATGCGTGGATATACCTGGGGACGTGGCCGGGGTCGTGGACGTGGACGTGGCCGTGGCCGTGGATATGGTCCAGATCGCCAAATCCAAAAAATTTCACCGAGGGTATAACTCGGGCCGGGGATATAATCGTGGGTGAGGCCGTAACTATGCCCAAAATTATGAAAGGAGGAGAAATTTCCTGCCAAAATTTGAACAGAATAATGTGACGGAGAATAATGATGAAAAGGCATATTATCGATGTGGAAGGACGGGGCATTGGGCACGGAATTGTCGTGCTCCGAGACAAGTTGTTGATAATTATAACAATTCCGAGAAATCAAAAGATAAGAATATATAAACTAATTTTATGATTGGGGAATCTTCTAAAAATGATTCAACACGTGTGGATGATGAATATGGCATCGATGACAAATTGAGCCTGGATTTTGCTGATGCGGTAGTTGAAGACCAAGCTGGAAATGACCAAGAAAATAACTAATGATCATGTTTTTTTTATTGCTTTCTTCGTTTTTGTTGTATTGGTGTGTTTTTATCTGTATTTCGATTTTAATCAATAATAAATGTTGTTTTCTTTTAGATTATAGATCGATCTCGAATCCAAAATGGAGATATATGTCTTGCAGATTGTGCCACTACTCATACTATACTTAAGGACAGAAAATATTTCGTCAACTTGAAATTAAATAAAGCAAAGGTAAACACAATTTCCGGAAATGCAAAGATAATTGAGGGTTTTGGAAAAGCCATATTTTTTATGATGGGAGATACAAAATTTACATTGAATGATGCATTATTCTCCCCAAAATCAACAAGAAATTTGTTGAGTTTTAAAGATATCCGAATGAACGGATACCATGTTGAAACAATGAATAAAGGGGGAGTTGAATATCTTTGCATTACCTCAAATATTGCGGGAAATAAATGTGTTTTGGAGAAATTGCACAGTTTTATCCTCGGGCTTATATTACACCCGCATTTATATTATTGAGACTTATGCTGCAACAAAATCACAGGTGAATGAAATGTTTAAACTTTGGCATGATCGACTTGGTCATCGTGGCTCGATAATGATGCAAAGTATTATTGAAAATTATAGTGGGCATCCATTAAAAAATCAGAGGATACTACAAACATATGAATTGATGTGTGCCTTAAGTTTTCAAGGGAAATTGATAATAAGACCATCACATATTAAAGTCGGACATGAATCACCATTATTTTTGAAAAGAATTCATGGTGATATATGTGGACCTATTTATCCACCTTGTGGTCCATTCAGATATTTTATGGTGTTAATTGATGCCTCTAGTAGATGGTCTCACGTGATTTTGTTATCCACTAGAAATGTGGCATTTGCTAAATTGTTTGCCCAACTTATCAAATTAAAGGCTCAATTCACAGATTATATTATAAAAATGATCAAACTCGACAATGCTGGAGAGTTTACATCTCAAGCATTTGATGATTATTGTATGGCAGTGGGAATTGACGTTGAACATCCTGTAGCACATGTTGACACTCAAAATGGTCTAGCAGAATCATTGATTAAACGACTGCAACTTATAGCCAGACCATTGATAATGAGGACAAAACTGCCCACTTCAGTATGGAGACATGCTATTTTGCATGCAGATAATCTAATTCGAATAAGACCAAGTGCACACCATACATACTCGCCATTACAGTTGGCATATGGTAGAGAATCAAATATTGCACATATAAGAATTTTTGGTTGTGCAGTATATGTACCAATTGTTCCGCCCCAACGTACGAAAATGGGGCCTCAAAGAAGGTTGGGAATATATGTTGGATATGAATCTCCATCAATAATAAAATACCTTGAGCCAAAAACAGGTGATGTTTTTACAGCTCGGTTTGATGATTGTCATTTTAATGAAGAATTATTTCCCCCTTTAGGTGGGAATGAAAAGTCAATTGAAAGAAATATTGAATGGAGAACATCATCACTATCATATCTTGATCCTCCCACCAAACAAAGAGAGCAAGAAGTTCAAAAGATCATACATCTGCAGAATATTGCAAATCAATTGCCAGATGCATTTACTGACACAGAAATGGTGACAAAATCACATGTTGCAGCTTAAATGCCCCTGCTCGAATTGAGGTTACAAAAGAAAGGGCAAATGACGATGTGCCAAATGAATTAAAGGCACGTTTGAAACGAGGAAGACCAGTGGGGTCTAAAGATAAGAATCCTCGAAAGAAAAGAGAAATTCAAGATTCGAATTTGAAAAAGAATCAAGATGATGGAAAATTTTCAAAACGAAATGAAAATATTGAAATCTCCATCAATTACGTAAATAATGGGAAACTTTAGAAGCGTGATGAAATTATTGATGATGCATTCGCATATATGGTATCACAAGAAATTGACAAAGAAGTTGAGGATCCTGAACAAAAGTCTATGATTGAATGTCAGAAAAGACATGATTGAGACAAGTGGAAAAATGTTATTCAAGCCGAGTTAAATTCGCTTAATAAACGAAAGGTTCTTGGACCTATAACCATTATACCCAAAGACATAAAACCTATTGGATACAGATGGGTTTTTGTCAGAAAAAGAAATGAGAAAAATGAGATCACAAGATATAAAGCTCGCCTTGTAGCACAGGGATTCTCCCAGAGGCCTGGGATCGATTATGATGAAATATATTCCCCTGTTATGGATGCAATTACTTTCAGATACTTGATTAGTTTGGCCATCTATGAAAATCGTGAAATGCGTCTCATGGATGTTGTGACTGCTTACTTATATGGATCGCTAGACGCTGACATTTATATGAAAATTCCAGAAGGAATTAGAATACCCGAGGCGCTAAAGTCCAAACCTAAAGAGTTATGTGCGATAAAACTGCAAAGATCATTGTATGGCTTGAAACAATTCGGGCGTATGTGGTATAATTATTTGAGTGAACAATTACTAAACGGGGATATATAAATAATCAAATATGCCCGTGTATTTTTATAAAAAAGATCACAAGATGGAGTTGTGATAATTGCTGTCTATGTCGATGATCTTAATATTATTGGGACTACAAATGAAATCCAAGAAGCAGTCACTTTACTAAAAGGCGAATTTGAAATGAAAGATCTCGGATAGACCAAATATTGTCTCGGCTTGCAAATAGAACGAGTCCAAAATGGGATATTTGTCCATCAATCTAATTACACTAAAAAAATACTGAAACGATTCAATATGGACAAGGCGAATCCACTTAGTACCCCAATGGTCAATCGAACATTAGATGTTGAAAAGGATCCATTTCGACCTTGTGATGAAGATGAAGAAATACTTGGTCCTGAAATACCATATATGAGTGCAATAGGAGCTCTTATGTATCTTGCTAATTGCACCAGACCAGATATATCTTTCGCTACCAATTTATTAGCAAGATATAACTCGTCACCTACGAGGAGACATTGGAATGAAATCAAGCATATATTCCGTTATCTCCAAGGGACAATCGATTTGGGACTGTTTTACTCTAATGATAAAAAAAAATGAAATAATCGGTTTTGCAGATGCAGGATATCTATCAGATCCCCATAAAGCAAGATCCCAAACCGGCTATGTTTTCACGATTGGCGGAACTTCATTTTCTTGGCGCTCCCAGAAACAAACATTAGTTGCGACGTCTTCAAACCATGCTGAGATCATTGCACTTCATGAAGCAACTAGGGAAAACATCTGGCTCAGAAACATGACTCAATATATTCAACAAGCCAGTGGACTATCGAACAATAATGACCCGACGGTTATTTTCGAAGACAATGCCGCATGTGTCGCTCAAACGAAAGAAGGATACATCAAGAGTGACATAACTAAACATATCCCGCCAAAGTTCTTCTCATATGCGCAAGAGCTTGAAAGAAACAAACAAATCAAAGTTCAATACATTCGATCAAACGATAATGCAGCTGATTTGTTTACAAAGGCGCTTCCGACGACAATATTTCGAAAACACGTGCACAATATTGGAATGAGACATCTTCGGAATTTGCACAGATAATAATTCGAGGGGGAGTATGTGCGGCTGTACCCTTTTTTTCTTATCTCGGTTTTTTTCCCACAGGGTTTTCCAGATAAGGTTTTTAACGAGGCAACATAAATGCACATTTAATAGTGGTATTTCCAAGGGGAAGTGTTATGATAAGTGGAATTTACCAACAATTAGAATCTTATCATGTGAATTATTATTATATGTATTGAAGTGTGTGCCAAGACCCTTAAAATTGGTCTATAAAAGGGCCAAAAATGATTGTAATTTTGTGTACGAAAAAAGTATATATCCAATTTTTACATTGTGTTCTTTATATTTCCCGCAACATGGCATGTCCCTAAAAAATAGCATGGCCCGCTAGCTTATCCTTCAATTTGTTTATAACACATTCGGCCAAATTTGTTTATAACACATTCCGAATTCGATCTGCGATTTCATAGACTTGGCGACGGCGACGCCATAGGCTAAGATGGCGGGCTCGCCGCGAATTGGGTGGCCGTGGATTACCGAATCCGACCTACAATCGCATAGTCTTGGCAGCGGAGATGTGAAGTGCACATAAGTGATGACTCTTGTGTATGCCAGGTCATTTGAGGAAGAAAGACGAAAAATTAAAACTATTGAATTTATTATTATCTAACCAAGCATGCTAATAAATTGGGTGGATAGATGTAATAATTGACATGGAAATTAATCAAGCCCATAATATTATTGTAACCAATCACACCTTTAGAGTATAAAACATTTTGGCTTATCAACCTACAAACTTTTTTTTTTTTTTTTTGGGCGGTTCGGGATTTCCTCAATATAGAGGTGAAAACTTTGAATAGATGTTGTTTGGCCTTCGTTCATATATATTCATATATACAACAAAAATGATTAAGTTGTTTTTCAACTTAATCATTTTTTTTTTTTTGACAAACTATATAATATTTTAAACTCCAAAAAGAGCACATCGAATGTCCATTGACATTACAAAAATACCTTTGTATTTTTTCACCAAACATAATTACAGGTGAAAGAAGATTCAAGTTAAGGGATTCATTCCGTGTCAAATACAATAGACACTAAAATAGACATTACACTCCCTTACTGAGAGACTAATTGACTGCCAAAATGGAGAACAAAAAACACTCCCCAAGGGAGATCCAAAGCCAGAAAGAAAAACGATAAAATATACACCTAATACATAAAAACATGTTACTACGACAATACATAATTAAAGCCTTCTCCACTGCCCTGCAAGCTGCTCCAACGACCACGCACAAAGCTAACACCCGAAGACAACCAACAAGAAATATAAGACTTTAGCCCCAAGTATAGAACTAGAAACTCTCAACTCTTGATAAGAGGCTATAACTAACTAGAACCGAGCCTAGGGAACCAAAACCCCCTTTCACTGGCAACACCACAAGACAACATCAGCAGCACCAGGAGACCGAGCACCATCGCCTGCCCCAACACGACACCGACGAAGCCCACCCATTTCTACCAAAGAAGAAACCAGCCCCTGCCAGAGGAACCTATCTGTCCCCAACCTAGAGAATAGACAGAAAAAAGAGGAAAACCATCGTGTCGGCCCAAGCTCGGACTGTCAAAAGGCCAACGAGCGTCGCTCGCGAGGAAATAATATTACGATTTCATTATAAATTAAATAAATAAATAATATCAATCATGATTTACCCATTGTTTTCAAAACTGACTGGACCAGAACGAATCGTACGGTCCGACCATAGTTGCGGCCAAATCCCGATTTCGAGTTGGTTCGGGCCGCACTTTTGGGGCCCTTATTTAATGAACTGGCGGTTCCTTCAGAACCTGCTCGCTTGTTTCGAGTCAAATCAATAAATTAAAAACATCGCCGAACCGTCTGGTTCTGTTTAGAATCGGAACCGACAGTTCAATCTATGAAAAATCATAAACCTGAATCGTCCCGTGTAAAACTACGACCTGATTCAGCCCATGGACATGTCTATCGACCGGAGAATCGAAAATCGGTTTATCGGCCAGTTTAGAGCGCTTGAATAAAACGTTTGCTCGCAAGCCGTTCAACACCATTCGGTCGAACTGGTAGAATCAATACGATTTTTTAAACAAATTTTGTTATATTTACATTTACTTTTTAATATAAATAAAATTATATATCTAAATAAATGAAGATTTAAAGATTGTTTATCAATTAGTCTAAATATTTGAAATTTTAAATTGTTCATAATTTATTAATATTTTTTATTTAAATTTTTTGAAAACTACTTTATATATATATATATATATATATATTAAAATATCAACAAAAAAATTAAATTTTGGTCCAACCAATAAATCATTGAATAAATAACGTAATTGGTCGATGATGGTCCGGTTTTGAGAACACTCATCTACCATACATTAAGACCATCTACAATAGGGTTGCTTAACTGATTGCTTAAAAATAAGCAATTGCTATTTAAGCAATTTTCCATTGTGAAGAGAAGCAAGCAATTGCTTAGGTTAAGCAATTGCTTGAATAAGCAATCCACAAACAATCAGAATTTGTGGGCCAATGAACCAAAAAAATTATATTTTAATTATAAATAGTAAATAAGGTAGTTAAGTTGGTAATTAATTTGTGGGGTATATATGGGACCCGCATGAGTTGCTTAATAAGCAATTCACCATTGTGGGATTGAATTGCTTAAATCATAGAATTGTTTAATGGCACATGGTCCCACCAAAATAATACTAAAATATTCTAAGCAATTGCTTATTAAGACAACCATTGTACATGGTCTAATAAAAGTTACATTATCATTTCGTTCCATAAAATATCACAAAATTGATATATAAATATTCATATAAAGCCTTCATCATTTTGTCATAAAATCATTCTTAATATAATTAGTTAGAGTTTGGACTACATTACTTGTGTAATAAAATATTTGTTTATTAAAATTTATTAATAATCCATTTGGTCATATTCATAAAAATTGAACATGTTGTCATAATAGCATTCATAATATAATTAATTATGGTTTGGACTTTATATAGTAATATTTTTTATATTAAAATTATATTCAATTGTAATAATCGATTTAGTCTTGGCCAACTAGACCCATAACTTGGTCAGCCAACTCCAATTGTGTCATTTTTTTACTGTTTTAAAGTAATTCAATTGACCAGAGTAGGAACTTAATTCAATCACCAGATTTATCAAGAGAAATTTTATTAAATATATTTAGTTTTATGAAACAAAAAATATTTTATGATTATAATCTCGCAATAATAAGTATAATTATAAAAGTTATCATTTCCCTTGTGCTTTTAAAGAAATATTATTTCCAAAAAGATATATAATGCTAAACAGAAAAATAAGTTTATAAATAAAAAAAATCTTTTTTATTTCCACAACTTTTTTATGCAGATACAAATTGATTAGTTCAAATAAATATTTATATAATCCCTCTTTATATATTAATTCAAAATATGTTGAATTATACTTTTGAATATTGACATGACGAAATGCTTCGTATAACTTTACACATACATATATATTCATTAATTCAATACATATAAAGCAGAAAAAAGAGCAGACTCACAGTTCCACTTTCCTCTGTTCTCTCTCTTTCTGGTTTTATATACGCGTATAAAAACTATAAACTCTATTCATTACTTTATTTCGAGGGTTTTTTTTAGCTTCGCGAGAACTAGTCGACCATGAATCGAGGAGCAGATCCCAATCCATTCGACGAGGAAGAGCCCGAAGTCAATCCATTTTCGGTAACCGCGCGTACATATGTTTCAGATCTGTCTATTTTTAGGACTCTAGTTTTTGTGGTGAAGTTTGTCGATGGTTTGCCTTGTGAAAGTTTTTATTGCTTTAGATCCGAATCCTGCGGCTGCGTTTGTTTGGTTTAATGTGAGATTTGGGAGGTGAATCGTAGGTTAATTTGGGGGCGGGGCTCTGTTTGATTTGGTTGTTGGAGAAATGAAACCGAACTGATCTGTGTTCTGCATTACCAATTAATAATTGATTTGTTTTAAAATTTATTAGTGTGTATGCTTACTGAAGAGACAATGGCAGCTTGACGCAGATGTTGCTTTCCGTAAGAAAAACAGAGGTGTGGTGTGGGATTTGCAGCAAAATATGTGAAAATTGAGAATCTTGTGTAGTGATTAGAGAGAATTGCTTCAGAATCGTGGTTAGTGATGTCAAAAGTATAGAGATGTTGTTAGGAACTACTCAAGTCTGAATATAGTAACTTACATGGTGTGTGAGTTTAGAGAAGCTAAACTATCAGAATCAGACCGAGTGGGATCGTCTTTCAAAAAAAATAAAAATAGTGCTATCACTTGCCATGTGAAAGCTAACAAAACAAATCCACAATTTCTGCTACAAAAGCGAAATGACTATTTTACTTCTGTGATGAGGTGAATAGGAGACGAAACGCCATTTCTGAATATAAGATCTCATCAGCTATTTATCTGTTGAACTTTTCAATTTTGCGCAAATTCACTAGTGGTATGGAACTTAATTCACATACTGACCCATTGATGGTGTAGTAGAAGCAGCACGACTATCAATTATGTTATAATTAACATTTTATTGGTTTGATAGCCACTGACTTCATCATTATGATTGATAAACGTGATACGACCTTCTCAACAACTATGATTAATGTCAGGGTTTGAGAATTGGCAAGAATGTTACACCTCTATTCTATCAGCCACTTTGATTCATATCTCCCATATCTTATCTTATAGATGGCAGAAGGAATTTTGTGACTGGGATGTGACATGCTTTCTGTATTTGTTTGAATCCCAAATGTGTGGCCGTATACTGTCCACCTGTATTTTGATGAATAACATTTTACCTGTTTCATATTTATTATATATCATCTTCTTATCACCCCATTTGTTGGGGTTGTTGCAGAGTGGTGCAGGATCAAAATCTCGCATACCTAAGGTGGTTGCAAGTACACTAGGTTTCGGTCAGAAACATGATGCCACTGTGGATATACCACTAGATGCCATGAATGTAATGCAGTTGTAAATTAATCGCCGGTTCCATTCTGCAATATAATCATGGATTTTATCTTAATTTTATTGTACGACTGCAGGATTCCAAGAAGAAGGAGAAGGAACTTGCAAACTGGGAAGCTGACTTAAACAGGAGAGAAAGGGTTAGTACATTCTTAAGTTTACGTTATTACAAAGTAATTGATGCAGGAAATTACTAATATGTGATCTGTCTTGCTAATAAAAGAAAATATATATGTATATATGTGTGTGTGTGTGAGTTTGAGTTTCTTACATCTGGCCAAGTATTGAAGTCTTAAAACCATTTTTGTATTATTGTGCTAATGTGTTGTTACTCTTTATTTATGACTAACTTTGGGGGTGATCATTAAGTAGAATTTCCATGCTTGTATATTTATCTTGCAATTGAGCTGCATGTATACACCTTTTTTTTTTGGTTTTGTAGGATATCAAACGAAGAGAAGATGCTGTCACCAGCGGTAAGCCAGCAGACCACTAGCAACCATTTTCAGATATTTTTCTGTCTTTATGTTTGTAATATATTGAGACCTTTTTTTTTTGGTTCAGCTGGTGTTCCTGTGGATGATAAAAACTGGCCGCCACTTTTCCCCATTATTCATCATGATATAGCTAATGAAATACCAGTTCATGCTCAGAAGTTGCAGTATCTGGCATTTGCAAGCTGGTTAGGTGGGTAATATATTTTTATTTCCAGCGAGCTCTTTACTTGTCTTGAACAATCCTGTTTAAGTGCAAGTAGATTTCATACAAGCTAAGTACGTGAATATGAGAATACAACCTCATCGTCAGCTTTATCGAGTCAAGTTTCTGATAGTGCACGTTTGTGTCGGAGGCATGCTTTATGATTATTTCCGTCATTGTACAAACTACAAAGTTGCATTATAAATGAATACATGTTCATTTTCACAATGTTGCACCTGCATACACACGGACAAAAATCTAGGAAAGGAGACAATTCTTTGTGACCTTATTCATGCTAAATACTCGGGACAATTTTGTATATTAATTTCCTCCGGATATAATGTTAATGCGCAGCCATATGAAACTTTAAGAAGGCAACAACTAAATGTTGAAAGGACAAGTGCATCCCTGCTAGTAACTACTGTCAATAGTTGTAGGCACTAACTATTTTGACTGTGTCAGCTTAATTTTAAAATGGGAAAATTGCCTAATTTGGCAAAGGAGAGAATTCTTCGTGTCAATCATGAATTTTTTTAATGTTTTTTTTTTTCTTATCTATCGGTACCCTGGTCTTCCAAGTGGAAATCGTGGGGGATATTTAATTCCAATATTCTTATAACATAGTTGTGCCTTGTGGAGAGTGAAATACTTCTTGGCGTGTATGATAGTTTTGTGATTAGCTGAAGTTGTCTCGTGATATAGTTTTACTGTAAGCTTTAAGGTTGATTCCTTGTTTCGTTTGAAATTATGTGGATGGAAATTTATTTTAACGTTCCCTTCGATGGGCTTTGGTTTCAGGTATTGTCCTTTGCCTTGTTTTCAATGTCATTGCAATCACTGTTTGCTGGATAAGGGGTGGTGGTAAGTTGTCTTGTTTACTTTGGTAATTTTCTTTTTCTAGTGCTCTTGATCCATGGCATTAAATGATGTTTTCTGCTTGTAGGAGTCAGGATCTTCTTGCTTGCCATTATATATGCCCTGATGGGTTGTCCCCTTTCATATGTACTGTGGTACAGGCCTTTGTATCGTGCAATGAGGTACTTGACACAGCATTGCATCATCATCGTTGTCATTATCATCATCTATATTTTTTAGACTCTTGATGTGTTTGAAATAACGCCCGTGTTACGTGATTATGATACACAGGACTGATAGTGCACTGAAGTTTGGCTGGTTTTTCTTGTTTTATTTGGTATGTATGCTGGTGACCCCTTGACATATAACAGGCTAACAGCAACATGCTATATCTTCTTTATTTTGATGCCTTTGGTTCAATTTTGTGCAGCTACACATTGGTTTTTGCATTCTTGCTGCAATTGCCCCACCAATCGTCTTCCATGGAAGATCATTAACGTAAGGATTTTTCTTCTTCATTATCTCCCTCTGGTAAAGAAGACGGACCAGAAAAGGGAAAAAAACATTTCCCTGAAGAATAGCTTCATTATGTTGTTTTAGCCTTAGAATGCATTCTGCAATAGAGTTATGATATTTTTTGTCACTATAGTTTGGGAAATTGTTTTATTTTCATTGAACTGAAAATTTATATGTGAGAGCTAGTTCACTTCAAAGCAGTGGGGGAAATTTAACCAAGCCAACAGCATTATAAATGGTGGGTGGCGGAAAATGGCGGCAGGCTGAAATACTGCCATGGCGGCCTGTGGTGTCGCCATAACTGCGATCCATTTGAAATTTATAATGGTGGAATTGCAGAAATCTGCCACGCCATATTGTCATGGGGGAAATTTGATTAACACTGCATGACAACACACGTGGACAAATCTCTTTATTTATTTATTTATTAATTTTTGCATAGCTCAATTAACAAGAAGAAACAATGTATGTTCTTGCAAAAAAGAAGGAAAATCACCAACACACGCGCACTATAGGATTTGATTTGGGACTGCTCCCTTGTAAAGTAGCCCTTTACCAACATCTTGTTTATTTTTGTTTAACTCTTCATTGATTTTTTCTTGCATCAGGGGTATTCTTGCAGCTATTGATGTTTTCTCTGACCATGTTGTGGTTGGGGTGAGTTTCTTTTCATATCATTATTCTTTCTTGATGCTTCGTCTGTTGTACACATTCTATTATTTTGTACATGATTTGGATCATCAATTGCACTTTGTTCCACCATTTTAGTGAAGGACAAATTTTTTTTATCTTCATTGAAATAAATAGCAATTATTCAAACGTTTGTATGTTAGTAGGGTTACATCCCTGCTGGTGGTTTTCATTTTATCTTTACCGTTCTCCTTTCTGTTTTCCCTGTGGTCTTACTTGAGTTGAAGATGGGTCATTCATTTTGGACTTTTCTCGTGACATCCTCTATTTTTCCTTCAGATCTTTTACCTGGTTGGATTCGCGTTATTTTGCTTAGAGACACTGTTGAGCTTATGGGTACTTCAGGTTAGGAACAAAATTTTATTATTCTCTGGTTTCTGTGGCTTTGAATTGAACATCAGTATTACTTGTTTTTCGTCGTAACAGTTTCGTTTACGCATTTGTCTTGCAGAAAGTATATGCATATTTCAGGGGAAACAAGTGATTTGATTGCGGTGCTTAGGTATATAATTTTTTAATTCCATTATTCGTCTTACTACTTTCTGAAACGGTTGCCTTTTTGGATTGGTTGTAAAAGCTGCATTTCTTGTTGGAGTGTTTTATATTGATTCGTAGTAGATTGCATAGATGATCCACCGTTTCCCTTTTGAATAGTATCTTACAGATCTGCTCGGTCCCTTTGCAGCTCCTTTATTTCACATTGTTTGCAGAAATGAGTAAAGTTGGACTTTGATCTGTATATAGAAATTCAGATTTGAGTACACAACTATCATGTCACTTACTATTTATTATCATCAATTTGTTATTCAATTTTAACCTGTTGAATTAGCCACTACAACCTCCTTTTTGTCCTCTTCTTAAGACGTAATCTGTATTGGGTTATATCTAATACAGACCTTACCACCCATAGAACTAACACAAGTGCAGTAGCCTATTAACCTTTTCAATTCATAATTCTCATTGGGACAACTTGGACGAAAATTGAGGGAATCGAATATTTCGTCCCGCCGGATGGATTTAGCCTGTTGCAAAATTAGTTCAACAAGTTGCGAAATCAGTACAACTCGGGGACACTCACAGGATGGAGGAGACGTAAGAATACTATTGATTTTCCTTTTCAGAAGAAAAGGGACACTCACTGGATGGATTTGATTTAGCCTGTCGCAAAATTGGTTCTATGAGTTTCAAAATCAGTACTTCTCAGGGACACTCACGTGCAAGGCATGCAAACGTTAGGTTGTTGAATTGAAAAATGGGGAAATTGCAAATTTAGTCCTCATGAGAAAATTACAAATTTAATCCTCGTTAGCAATTTTGGTCCCAAGGGTTGCAAAATAGTTTAATTATTATTATTATTGTTTATTTTTATTTTATTTTTTATTTTATTTTTTTTTTTATTTTTTTTTTTTGTTTTGG